ATTTATGAAATAAAAAATTTTAAATTCGAATCATATTATATGTAAATGGAATGAGATAAATAATAAAAAATAATTATTTTTTATTATATAATTAAAATAAAAAAATAAAATTTTCTACCCAATTGATGGGATTGATTGCTTAATTCATGGGGGTGGTGGCCTGATTTGCTGCTACCATTATCAACGTCATCAAATCAATTACTGTCAGACACTGACCCCTTGGCAAATGTTAGTTAAAGTAACACTTATGCATATTAACATCTACCAACAACTTGGACGAGACGTAATAAATTAAAAAAACATATCATTACATCTACCGACAACTTGAGTCGTAAGTTTCCATAGTTCCGTGTCGTGCATGCGTCGTTTTAAACTTCTCTATCACAATATTGTAGGGATAACAATAGGCAAAAACATGACATAAGGACCCAAACTTACACCAAATTCACAATTTCAAACCCAAACTTCAATTGCGTTCAATGAAGGTCTCGAACTCCACGAAATTCTCAAATAAAGTCCCAATTGGAAGAAAAACTAACTTCCGGGTCAAATCTCCTATTATTCCGTAATGTTCCGTCACATTTCACACCTGCCACTTGAAAAAAATTAGTTAAATGCTAATTTTAGTCTTTCAACTTCATTGAGTTTCACTTTTTTATCCTTAAAATTTATTAAATTTCACTTTTTTGTCCCTCAACTTCATTAAATTTCACTTTTTATCCCTCAACTTTATTGAATTGTACTTTTTTGGTTCATAAACTATTTTTTGTACTTTTTTTGTCCTTAAAATTTTTACACTTTTTTAATCTCTTAACTTTAATAACTACACAATTTTGATACTTTCATCAGTTTAAGTTATTAACTCCGTCCACTTGGTATTTTTTACATTTTTTTGATGACATGTATAATCTAATTGGAAAAAAATAATAATATAGATCATTTAACTAAAAATAATGATGATATAGATAAATAAAATAATATGTAGATAAATTTTAATATTTTTAATAAAAATAAAAAAACCTCTCCACCTATTTTCTTCCCTCGCTAGAAGAAAGAGAAAGAAAGAGGGGAAAGAAAACAGGTAAAGAGGTTTTTATATTTTTTTAAAAAAATATAAAGATTTATCTACATGTTATTTTATTTATCCATGTTATCATTTTTTTCCACTTAGATTATATATGTCATCAAAAAAAATATAAAAAATAACAAGTGGACGGAGTTAATGGCTTAAACTAATGAAAGTATCAAAATTATGCAGTTATTAAAGTTAAGGGATTAAAAAAGTGTAAAAAATAATTTAAGGACCAAAAAAGTATAATTTAATAAAGTTGAGGGATAAAAAAGTGAAATTTAATGAAGTTGAGGGACATAAAAGTGAAATTTAATAAAGTTGAGGGACAAAAAAGTGAAACTCAATAAAGTTAAGGGACCAAAATTAGCATTTAACCAATTTTTTTCAAGTGGCAGGTGTGAAATGTGACGGAACATTAACGGAATAATAGGAGATTGGACCGGAAGTTAGTTTTCGTCCAATTGGGACCTTATTTGAGAATTTCGCGGAGTTTGAGACCGTCATTGAACGCAATCAAAGTTTGGGTCCGAAATTGCAAATTTAGTATAAGTTTGGGTCCTTATGTCATATTTTTGCCATAACAATATTGTAGGGATAGAATCACTTAACTTTTCAGTCAATTGGTAGTAGTTGAGGTGAACTCTTATATTTTTCATAGGTGGGTTTTGAGCCCACTCCTTAATAATTTATTCAAAAAAAAAATATTGTAGGGCTAGAAAAAGATCAACAGAATTGCTACAGTGAACTTATGTGCAATAAACTAAACAGATTAATTCAGTTTACAAAACCAAATCCAACCGTAAACATACTTTTACAACAACAAACCAAGAGTACAAAATTCAATTTTAATAAAAGGTGAGTTAATAATTAAAAGTTTAAATTTTTATGTTAAAATTTTTAATTTTAAATTTTGAAATGAATGGAAAGAGATTTAAAAAGATAAAAAATATTTTTTATTGTATAATTTATATATTATTTGACATACAAAGAAAAAAAATATAAGGAATCAAGAGTGCAAAGTTTAATTTTAATTGTGGTAATCTCTAAAATAATGGCGTGAGAAATTTAATATTTATGTTTAGGTATTCAAATTATAAAATAATAACCATTGATAGGGGATAGCCTTCCAATATTAAGGAGCCTATCTCTATATAATGGTTTAAGATTTTTTTTTTAAATTTAGTAAAAATTAAAAGACTATCTTCCATTATTATATAATCGATTATTAGAGGATAAAAAAACATCAATAAATCAAGCTTAACCTAAACCCCCGTGGTCTCTAACAATGGCAACTTGCAAACACTTAGGATGGGCTGTTTTTCTGGACTTGCTCAAGGCCTGAGAAACACAGAAAGGAGATCCATCGGCCCAATCCAAAACACTAATGGTGGATCATGGGTTGTCCCATATGACCCGCAAACCCAATTGACCTAGAAGTTGCCAGGTCCACCGCAAAGTCTTAACTTTCAGTTGCAAATTGCAAACGGGCGCTAAGCTGAGTCAGTCTCCACATTACCAATCGACCAACCACCCTCTAAAGGTAAAGATGATGGTCGAGGATCTGGGCGTGGAGGCGAAGGAAGCGGCGCTGCGGGAGGTTGCGAAGCTACTTCCGCTTCCGGAGCTTTTGCAATCCATTTCTTCCATCAAGGCCGATTACATCGCCCGGCAACAGGTTACGGTTTCAATTCGCTAGCTATATTTTACTTCTTCTTTTTTGTTTTATTTCAATTTTAGCGTTCAATTGTGTAAAACGTGCAATTAGAAGCTAAGTTATGTTCTCATTTTACATTACATGGAAATAACTTAGTTAGAATCTGGAGTTAGTTTACTTGTAGAGTTGCTGCTTTGGGACTTTGCTAGTGACCGTATACTTTTGTGATGGAGTTTTAGCAATTGATGTTGTTATAGTAATTGGGATTTATTGAACTGATCTAAATGTATCTGGATTGGTGTATTGTCAGGCAAATGATGCACAACTTAGTACAATGGTTGCAGAGCAGGTACATGACATGAGCAAATGTTTTATTGTGTGTGGATATATAATGCTTATGTATCATGTTTGTTAATAAAAATATGGTGCTGAGGCAGCTTGGGCACTTAATGTAGACTTGAGTTTTAATGGGTTGTACCTGAACAATACTCTGGACTACAGGTTGAACAGGCACAAGCTGGACTTAAATCACTCTCATTATCTCAAAACTCCATAAACCAGCTCCATGAGAACTTCCTATCTACTGAGAAGTATGTTTTTGATAACATTAAGTTGAGGCATTGTTTTGAGTTCTTATACATATTTTGTGTTACTAATGTCTGTGGGGTAATTTGTCAATATTTGAACAGGTTATGTCATGAATGCCAGACATTAATTGAAAACCATGATCAAATAAAGCTCCTTAGCAATGTGAGGAATAACTTAAACCAAACATTGAAGGTGAGTTTGGCTGGCTTTGATCTAAGTTTGTTTAAGATTTCTTGGTTGCATGCTTTCAAAACATTGAAAAAAATAGAAAGCAATATATATTTGGGTTCAGCCCAGAAGCAAAGTAATAGTTGCTCAGTGTGTGTATTCAATGGTGGTAGTGCTTGCATGCTTGCCACTGTATACCTAGAAGGTAGCATTTGTTAAGTATTGAAGCCTGTGTTGATTGCCCTTTCTAGTTCTAGCTTTCTTTTGAATGAGGAGAGGATGGGATAAGGTTAGGAGTGAGAAGTTGTTAGTCATTTATGAGTTTAACTTTGATGTTTTATAGTGAAAATGCCATCATAAATTACAAATGTGGAATTATGTAGCGTAGTGAATTTTAATATTTTAATATCCTGTCCAGTATATCACTGCAGTATGGTTAAACCACTTGATCTTATTGTAGGATGTTGAGGGTATGATGTCCATTTCAGTTGAAGCTGCTGAGGCACATGATTCTTTAGGTGATGATAAAGAAATTATCAACACATATGAGGTAGGACTAATTTTTTTCCCTTGTTTACATTTTTTTGGAATCAGTATCTGATGATCTCATGTATGGAACATTGTGCCTTTATTTTTTTGTCTTTCATGTTTCATCCTTTATTTGTTGTAGAGGTTAACAGCACTTGATGGAAAGCGGAGGTTTGCATTAGCAGCAGCATCATCTCATGAAGAAGAGGTAGGAAAATTAAGGTATGCATCTCTTGTAAGTTCCTTTTTGGCACTTATAATTTTGACAGTAATCCAAATTTCAGAAGCATTCACTTAAAAGATGAAAATAGAAACCTGATTAGTAGCTACCAGTTCCAGCCTGTTTTCTGAAATTCTTTCTAGAGTTATGCTGATTTTCATTTCTTAATGCATTAATGCGTGAAGATGCCTATATTTGCATTGACAACCACTACGTAACAAATCTCTTAATTTTGGTGTTGCTCAATTTGGTAGTTCAAGTGTTCTTTCACAAGTCACAACCATTGAGTTAATGGTACATTAGCTTTTAACTGGCCTTTAATGTCATACTCTTTAACATGATCCTACTCACTGCAAAACTGGTCCGAAGTTGTTAGGAAATAGAAAAGTCATGTATGTTTAGTTGACTAGTTTTATAAATCACATCTATTTTGTTAATTTTTCATTCTTGTGGTGTTTTTTATGCATAGTTTTATGTTTAATTGACTAGTTTAATTTGGCTTTTTAACAATGGTTCTGTCTTAGGGAGTATTTTGAAGATGTTGATCGAACCTGGGAGACATTTGAGGAAACATTATGGAGCCATATTGGCAACTTCTATAAACTTGCAAAAGAAAGGTATGTCCAGATGATCTATGGAAATCTTAAAACAGTGGTTGTTCCATGAATATATGAATTTCCCTGTTCGTTTGAGATGCCTGAGTTTGGAGCAGTTTTTAGAGAGTCCTGAAAAGTATATTTTTCTTCTTTCCTTACCTAGTTTCTGTGAGAATATAGTGTTATTACAGCACCTTTCTCTCTTTGCTTTTATGGAATTCAACTAAATACCTACAACTAAAGCTAACAGGCATGAGAATGAAAGCCACCTAAGTTCAGATGCAAACGTTTCAGATGTTGACCAAAACTGAGGATTTGCTTTTCTTGCTTCCTCTGCTTTCCATTATATTCTATCATTTTGCATTGGGTTAAGAAACTTGTTTCTTTTTGTTATGAATTATTTGTTGTAAAATAATTATAGCCTACAATATGTATTTACATTGTTTACATAGCCTTACTGTTGAAATTTATCAGTTTTGGTTTTTATATTTTGCAGTCCACAAACCCTGGTTCGTGCTATAAGGTGTGTTGCTGACAAGCTTCTCAAAGCCATTTCTATTTTTTCAGTCCTGAAATCCCAGTTTAACAATATCCTCATATATATATATATATATATATATTAGTTTATGGATATCTCATTGCAAAGGTTTGCTTTGCTTTGCAATCTAGGGCAATTAAAATTTCTGATTCATGTTTGCTGCCAGCCTAACAAGATAGAGAGCATCCTCTTTTGATTTCCTATCTCATACTTTCCAGTATATTTTTCCTTTGTTTCCCCCCAGAGTTGTTGAAATGCAAGAAATTCTTGATCAACAACTAGCTGAAGAAGCAGCTGAGGCCGTGGGAGAGGGTGCAATGGCATCTATTGTGAATTCTCATAAAACTGGCAAGTATGTTTCCTGCTCAATTGTTAAATACTATGTATTTGGCTTGAACAACTCTTCATGCATTTGGAAGCTTTATTGCATCCATCAATTTTGTTGTGGTATACATCTATTCATTTGCCTGCAGAAAATCTACCACTGCTTCAGCTTCTTCTAGAAACCAAACACAGACAAAGTTAAAGGTTCAAGGGAAAGGCTATAAGGATAAATGCTATGAGCAAATAAGGAAAACAGTTGAAGAACGGTTCAACCAGCTTTTGACAGAGGTACTTTTCTAATCACTAATGTGCCATATTTAAATGAAGAACAAATGTGTTTCATTTTTTTTATTATTTGATATGTATTATTCTAACGATATATCTGCATCAGCTTGTCAGCCATGACCTGAAAGGAGCTATAGAGGAAGCTCGGACGGTATGCTATGATGATTCCTAGAATTTCTCAAAATTTTGTGCTTCTTATGATTCTTGCCTTTATGGTCTGACTAGAATTTAAACTTAAAAAGGAAAATCCAAATTGTATCCCCTTGTCCATCTTGAAGTGTTCCATGGTCATTGTTTTTGACAAAGCAATACATTCATTTGTGTCAACAAATCATAGTTTGAAGTGATCTTGTTGAGATCTCTATGTGGGCATGTTAAAATTTTCTTCATTGTAATGCATTATTGTTTCTTTTTTATGTTAGATTGGTGAAGAGCTTGGAGATATTTATGACTATGTAGCTCCATGTTTTCCTCCAAGGTTTGGCTGTCCTGAATTCTTCTCCCTTTTCATTCTATATGAAGCAAACTTTTAGATTGGATGTCCTACTCTAGCTTCAGACTTAGGAACTGGGAATGAGAATTTTGTTTGATGTCCTTTTAAATGTTTGCCTTTCCTTATTCTCTTAAATAAAATTTTTATTCTTCACTAATTTTCTGTCAGATTGTAAGGATTGCTTTCACCTGTTTTGGTTTGCTATCTATTACTGGTGTGTAATCAAAACTCCCAACTTATTTATGGAGTAGTCCAAAGAGTTTGTTTCTGTTGCTTCTAGAGTTGGCATCTGTTTTAGCATGTGGCCATGGGTGAGAGGGGGTGTCAGTTGTGTGAATATGCCTGCATGCTATTGTTCAATTTGGGAATCATTTATCCTAAATAATACACTAGTTCTTTATTCACTATGCTTTGGTCTTCCTTTCTGGCAGATATGAAATATTCCAGCTCATGGTGAATCTGTATACTGAGAGGTTTATTCAATGGCTTCGAATGCTGAGTGACAGAGCCAATGAGCTAACAAACTTAGAGATGTTAAAGGTTTCTTCCAGGATCCTTCATGGGTTTCAAATAATTTTTTCAAATTGACCCATACATTTTTGAGGATCTTGAACTGTGTCTGTTACACCATAGAGTAATAGGGTAACAGTAGTGCACTGTTCATCTCACTCTTTTACTGGTTTTTATCTCTCTTGTGTTGTATAGTATTACTATTGTGGTAAAGTGTAGTTTCAATGGAACTCAGGGGGCTTTTCATAATTCACCCTTATTTTTAGGTTAAGCATTTTTATCATTAGACGTATACAACTTTTTCTTTTCCAAATACAAATGAGTTACAGGATTACTTTTAATTGATCAATGGAGATTAGCAGTATTATATTTTCTTTCAAAAGTACAATTAGCATTAAATATTTGCTCTAAAGTATTGCTAGTAGTTTTATAGAACCAGCAACTACTGCAGAAGCAGCAAAGTAGAAAATAAGTTTTAGTATGTCACTGTGGTTAATTGTCTTTCATTCATGAATTACTCCACTTCAGGTATTATAGTTCTAAGGTTCTTTTTCTTTTTTGTTCTTGTTTTAAGTGTCTGACCACTTATACTTTTTGTAATAACTTTGTTGCATGTATTTTCCTTTGTACCCTTCCACATTGTTTTAGTAGCTCATAGTCCTTTGTGCTTGCACTAGGTAACAGGTTGGGTTGTTGAATACCAAGAAAATCTAGTTGGGCTTGGTGTTGACGAGACCCTTGCTCAAGTCTGTTCTGAGAGTGGTGCTTTGGATCCTCTCATGAATTCATACATTGAAAGAATGCTAGCAACAATGAGGGTAGTAACACACAATCCCATTAGTTCTTTTTGTTGTACTTCAGAGTTCAGACAGAAGCTTACATCTCTTCTTTTTCTCATTCAAGAATTACTTTCATTCATTCTTTTTTATAGGAATGGTATTCAAACATCTTGGAGGCTGATAAAGCACAACAACCAAAGAGAACAGAAGAAGGCAAGCTGTATACCCCAGCTGCTGTTGATTTGTTCAGGATTCTTGGGGAGCAAGTTCAAACTGTTAGGGATAATAGCACTGATGTGATGTTGTATAGGATTGCTTTGGCTATTATTCAGGCAAGTTATGGAATTTTACAGAAATCATGGTGCAGTAACTTAAGGATTGAAATTGGAAATCTGGAAAGGTTTAGGAAACATTTTACAGAATATTCTAAAATATAAGGTGTGAAACAATACTTTCAAGATAACCTTATATTTGTTCATCATGGTTGTAAAACTCTAAGTTGGGGCATCCTTTGATTCTTTTTTCAAATTCTGGTCTTGGCTGTACTACCCAAACTGGTGTAGCATTGGACTCATTTTAGACTTTTCTTGTCCCCTTATGTGCAGTTAAACAAATTGATCCACATGAAAGTTTTAATAGCAATAGAGCTACCTTTCTTCCTGTACTTTGTATCAATCAAGTCTACCTGTATACCTTTTTTTTTAATCTTTTTGTCTAAATTTTATTTTGGGTGCCAACCTGTCATGGCTTGATTTCATATTTAAGGATTTGAGAATCTCTATTCCTTTACTCTATGTTTGGCTTTTCACATTATGTTTAATCCACTCCTCTACTAACCTTGTTTGCTTGCAGGTAATGATTGATTTTCAAGCAGCTGAAAGGCAAAGACTTCAAGAGCCTGCTTCTAATATTGGTTTGGAAGCTTTATGTGCAATGGTTGGTGGAATGTTTTGAATCTGTAGCTTGTGAAATTATATTCACCTTTTCTTTTCTTTTCTTATCTTTTTTTTTTTTTGTTGGCACTGCATCCAGATTAATAACAATTTGCGTTGCTATGAACTTGCATTGGAACTTGGTAACAGCATCATAGAAGCTCTCCCTCCAAGCTATGCTGATCAGGTTTCACTATTTCAACCTGCTCTTTTTTGTCTTCTTTCTTCTTGCTTACTTGATAAGAACTGGTATGTTGAACTGGAGCACTGTCAAATCTACTCCAAAGCATGTCTATTTTTAGCTTATTTTATTATTTTTTTGTTTCTTTCTTTTGTCGTAAGTGATTCCTTTGTGTATCTCTTACTTGGGTCACAGGCACAGCCCTTTTGCACTTCTATATCCTGTAGACCTAGAAGATTGTTAGCAATCAGGAGTTGGTGCCACTTAATAGTTAGTAGCGACTGCTTGGGCTTAGTCACGCTTGAGTTGACTGTCACTTAACATTGTATGTGGATTGTGGAGTGTTAGTATGTGTCTCGACCTGATTCAGTCTCCATCATCACAAACAAGTACCCCCCCCCCCCTCTTTACAAGAGGACTTAAAAACCATTCTGTACTAGTCAGTTATCACCAATGTTGGTAGTCAAGTATCCATCTTGATTTTGTAGTTGTTTCAAAAAAACCACCATGTCTCTTGACCATAGCACAGGCTCACTATCCTTAAATATTGATAGAGGAGTGCTATTAACACTCTTTTTTGCACTGTCCTTTGAACACTTTATGTGATTGATACGTGTGGCAGGTGTTCTAACTGACTTAGGATGGTAAGCCTTAGTGGCAGGTGTTTTTGTGTCATTAGTCCAAGTTGCAAGTTGAGTTAAAATTTAAAATCATCTACATGTGGACCAATAATAGAGAAATACCTGCCACCTGGACCAATTACATATAGTGTTGAAAGGAAAGTGCAAAAGAAAGTATTGCTAGTGCTTCTTATATTGATAAGGGATTTTTGTTTTAAAACTGAATCTGTTAAGACATCTCTGGCCTTATAATCTAGTTGCTGAACTGTTATTTCTTTGCGAATTCAACAGGTTACTTTTGAAGATACATGCAAAGGTTTCCTAGATGTGGCAAAGGTATGTAAAAAATGGAATCTTCATTTCTTATTGATTTACTGCAGTAGCATTCTTTTTAGTTCCAGAAGGTTTGCTACAGACAAACATCTAAATTTTGCATTGTTAATAGGAAGCTGTGCATCAGACTGTTAATTTTATCTTTGAAGATCCTGGAGTGCAAGAGCTGCTTGTCAAGCTTTACCAGAAAGGTAATGTTAACTTTACTAATATACCTTTTGGTTAGCTTGAAAGTGGCTGGTTGGTTGAGATGTAGTTGATTACTCTTGTACAAGTGTGTCATATATTCTTTATAATTAGTTATTTTTCACTGCCAGAAGAGAGAAAAAAAAAAAAAAGAAAAAAAAAGGAAAAAAAAAGGAGTCACGCATGCTTCTTTTCATATACGGTTATCGTACTGATTAGACTACTATTTTGGCCCTTCAATCCAAAAATGCTTCTTTAGGAATTAAATGCATGAAATATGTATTTGGAACAACATTCAATTTAATGTATTTCAGATTTGTTATTTGTTTTGTCCTTGAATGCTGATGTGATGTGCCCATCATGTTTATATCGCATTGTATTGGTGATAATTTTTTTTACCTTTTTAAAAATCTCTTTAAACATTTGTTTTTGCCCCTGAGTTGGGTCCTTTGCCTTTTCTTTCAGAGTGGTGTGAAGGACAGGTTACTGAGTTCTTAGTTGTAACATTTGATGATTATTTTACAGATGTTAAGATGTAAGTTATCTTCCCTCTGAACCTGCATTTCTCTAAGTTTCATTATTTGAAATACTTAAGGCATATAAAAAATACAGTTGTATTTTGTACTGAATTGGTTTAATCATCTTTCAACACATTAAAATCGGTCCCATTCTATTATGCATCTAGAAATCTAAGTCCTTTTTAACTATCACCTAAAATGCCATCCTTTTTCCTCAAATGGAAGATCTGTAAGCTTCTTCAGAACCACATTCAGTCATCCAGGAGTGGTTGCTGAGGACTTATCATTTGACAACCTGAGGATGGCAAACAGCATTTTTGGTGAATTCCTTTTAACAATTGTATCAAGGATCTGATGTCAGCTCACATGGGGAGAGAGAGAGAGAACATAGCCTGAAGATAGAAGTAATCAAACCCATTTGCTTCCATTAGTTATCTGTTGCTTCTCCTATCCCTGATGCATCTACATTGGAGAATAGCACGACAACTCTGGCAAAAGTAACAGCAAACCAGGGAAGTCTTTGTTAGCATAACCAGACTTATTAAAATGGATAATATTAAGCAGATGAGATCATATTTCTAATCCAAATAACAAATCTAGAAGTCAAAATCATCCATTCAGCCACCTTACCAAAATACTAGATCCCATCTAAAAGCCTTTGCTCACTATCTAATAAATTTCTGAGATAATTATCCTCTATCTTATCCTGGGCTATGTTACCTTAAAATCTTTCACCTTGTTTATGTTTATGCAGAAGCCTTTGCTCCTATGTGCCTGGCTTTTTCATATTTTTGCTTGAGTACTTCTAGTTAAAAGTGCTGTTTCTTTATTGTTTAATGTGATGGTACAAAGGTATATTGAAGAGCGATCGTTTAGAAGATTCGTTGAAGCCTGCTTGGAGGAAACAGTTGTTGTCTATGTGGATCATCTATTAACACAGGTTTTATCTTTTTGTTCCTTTTTAAGCAAAAATTTTCTTGGTTATTTATCCTTGTGTAGTTATCCTTTTTTTTTTTGGTTATGGTTGTAGAGAAATTATATCAAGGAAGAGACAATTGAACGGATGAGGCTAGATGAGGAGGTTCTTATGGATTTTTTCAGGGAGTATATTATTGTCTCTGTAAGTGCTATTATTTGATTTGGACAGTTTCTTAAAGATTCCCATGTTGTGATATACATTCAATGAACTGCAAGTCTGCTGTAATAAACTACCAGCCATTCTCTATGTATTGTTTGATATAGTCTGTCAAACTGTTAATAATGGTTATTCTGCATCCTGGTTTTTAAACTTCTGCTGCAGAAAATTGAGAACAGAATCAGGATTCTGAGTGATCTAAGAGAACTTGCCTCAGCTGAGAGCCTGGATACCTTCACCCTAATCTATACAAATATCCTAGGGCATCAACCAGACTGCCCGGTAAACAATAATAAATAATAAGCTGCCTTTTAATTTGCTTCTGGTCTGTAGATGAAATAGGGGAGGAGGGATTTAAAGTTGCATATTTTATTGTTTGTTCAATGAAAGGTTATATTAAGTATAGAAGTTTATATCTTTTAACATTTCAAAAGTTAACTGCTGTGGATATTTCTCTTATATATGATTTTTCCAATTACAGCCTGATGTTGTTGAGAAGCTTGTTTCACTGAGGGAAGGCATACCACGCAAGGATGCCAAAGAGGTAAATGCCACCCTATCCTGCTGTTTGGTTTGAGGGAAACGGACTTCCTTCGATTTTCCTCCCCTCCTCTTGTTTGGTTATACTAAAATGTGAAAAGGAAATTAAAGCAAAACAAGGGAAAGCCCCTCCCCTCCATTTTTTTATTATCCAAATACAGAAACTTCTCCCCCTCCCCTCCCCTCAAACCAAACAAGCAATTTATCTCTGCAAAGTAAGAGCCTATATTTATTATACCATAGGCCTTTTGCCCTAAGACTTACATTAGTGAATTAAAGGGACTCAGAGAGGACAAGGGGTTCAAACAACAAAAACAAAATCATGCTTGCAATTATTTAAGAAATTAAGATGAAGTAAGATTAGGGATAAAAATGTTTAGATCATAGAGATAAAATTTGCTGCTTTTACTTGCTTTTCCTTTGGCTAGAAATTATTTGTTCTTGCGCTTTCCTTTCAACCATTCAAGGGAAGTCTCCTCCAATTGTTAATGTTTTTCTTCACCACAGTTCCTTCCATACCCTCCCATTGAACATGTAAGGTTGGGAGAATTTAATTTTTCTCAGGGAGCATTAGAAGAAACAGTATATCAATGGTTTCTATCAAATATTTTGATGATTCCTTCAATTGATTAAAAAGGGTGCTACTTTTATGTGCTTTTACATGATATAAGTATAAATTAGCCAGCCATCAAGAAGATGGAAATGGAGAACATTTGCAGGATTAGTTTTCATTTCCTTATTTCCATATAATCTGTAGCTCAAGGATATTCTATTTTTGAGACATGCTCTCTTATCTCAACAGCTTGTACAAGATTGCAAAGACATATACGGGAACTCTCTTGTTGGTGGAAAGCCCCCGAAGACAGGATTTGTTTTCCCAAGAGTGAAGTGCTTACAATCTTCCAAAGGATCTCTATGGCGGAAGCTGACATAGTTAAACTGAAGCACTCGGCAGGTTTTTTCTGGCACTGTAAGTCTGTAAGATAAGTTTAGACCGCCATTTTCGTATTATCATATTTCTTTTTTGGTTGGAAAGTGCTGAAGATGGGTGTTTACGGGTTCAAATAAAAGTGTCATTCTTTGTTATTATTATTGACTATTTTACTGCGTACCGAATTTTATTTTCTTCAGACGCCTTTTAATTAGATATTGATGGAAGACATTAAACATTTCTGCCTGCTTCTGTAAATGAATTTTATATGAATAAACAATAATGTTCCAAAATGCCAACAATATTTGTTTATTGTTCATCTAATCAAATAACAAAAACCACTCTCAAATTCCCTCTTTTACCTTGCTCTTTTGCGTTCGGCATCCCTTGGCCGGAAATTATCTCCTGGTAGCCAGGATGGATGATGCCTTCTATTGTTATGTTCGTTTTGATCATTACAAATTATCTTCTGGCAACCAGGATGGATGATTTAACAATTTCTGAGGCAACATTTGATTTTTTTTTTTTTTAACTTTCTTTTATGATGAAATAGGAACAAACACACCTGTGAAATACAGCTCATTGTGTACATATCTCTTTGATCGACAGCTCATTATGTTACATTTGTTATTAATCAATAGGTACAACAGGTCAGGTATGTTAGGTTTCCATTTGATTATACAGAATTATAGGAAAATAACACGTTCGCAGATTTAAGGATATCATAGAATGAAGTCTGATGCAGCACAACAAATTTGCAACAGTACACGAAATCTCTGATGTATCATGAAAACCTGACTCGTCAATTTTCTGTTAGTTGGGAATATTATCTCCATTGCACTGAAAAATTTTGTTTTAGAGCTCCACCATACTTTTTTTTAAAAATGTTAATTTTGTTATAATAAATTGATTATAATTAATATTTTGTATATTGAAGAATATTTATCCAGATATATGCAATTCTTTTTAAAAATATTTATCAAAGAACACCCTACACAGGTAATATCATTTGGGCACCTTGTAAAGTGCTCTGTAACAACAATGGGAAGATAATAGATGTATAAACAAATATAAGAAGCTATGAAAGAACGAAATATTAAGTCAAGGTTAGTAGATTATAAATACATAGAATATTCTCTTTGTAATATCAAGTAATTAATTTTTTAACATATGAAAAAATAAAAAGCTACAGTGGATACCCTGATGCCCTGAGTAAGTGTATTATTTAATTGGAACATTGATTGGAATAGAAAACAGCACTTACAGTTGCCATCCTCCTAAAGAATAACTCAAAGGTTGCGGACTTACTTAAATTGTCATCAGAAGGTTGGAGGACCAAAATGATAAAAACGGCTTTTTTTTTTCTGCTTTTTTATTATTTTATTAGTTTCCATTTTCCCCCCCTCTTTAGTCTTTACACCCTGTTGGGATTCATGAATGTATTCAGAAGTTGAACATGGTAAATTTACTATGGATTAATTTAAGGATAATGCTACCCAAAATCATGTCAATAGGGAGGAATTTAAGGAAATTGAACAAACAAACAGCCAAATAATGTAAGCTAATTCTCCTATTTAATTCTAATGGGATTACATGTGTCTCTTACCTGCCCCACTGCACTAATATTAATTCATTAGTACCAACTACCAAGGTTACCATACTTGTATATAAAGCTAACCCTTTTGTTCTCCCTCTCTCAAAACAACCTCAGCAACAATAATGGAAAATTTTCCTCCATTGATTTACAGATATCCGAAGAGGAGCTCAAGGCAATCCAGTAGATACCTCGGCGTGCGGCGGAGGCCATGGGGAAGGTACGCTGCTGAAATCCGGAACCCTCACACTAAAGAGAGACATTGGCTAGGAACATTTGACACTGCTGAGGAAGCTGCAATAGCTTATGATCTTTCATCTATTTCCTTCAGTGGTATTGAAAGAGCTCGCACAAATTTTTATTACCCTTTCTTGGTTCTGCCTCCTCCTACTGTAGTTCCACCACCGCCTCCTCCTCCATCACCGGAATTGGAAGAGATCAGTAACAACTGTATTTCTACTGAGATGAATATTAACATCGGTGAAGATGATGAATCTCTTGTCATTGCTTCTATCTTGCAGAGTTTTGCAGTCTGCTAGCTTTTCTTTTATCCTTTGATTTTGAGAATTAATGGTCTGTTCCTCTTTTGTCATCTTGATTCATTAAAGCTCTTGAAATTAATTAACAGCATTCTCTCTATAAAAGAAATTAATATTAGCGCCCTAGTTAATCACAGAAGCGTCTTATGATTAATGCTTTCAGATTGCCACAATTAATTAAGACCTGGGTTTTCTCTTTTTTTCTTTCTTTCTTACTCATAATGTGCCTTCATTCAACTTTATTAGCTCTAATTTAATTTTTTAACTTTTTAAACATAAAATTTAAGTGAAAATTTAATATATTATATAAATAATAATTAAAATTTTTTATTAAATAAAATACTCAATAAAAATTATATATAAATAAATAAATTATAATTATTATTCATGTAGATTATTAAATTTTTATTTAAAATTTATATCTAAAAAATCAAAAAATTAAATTATGAGTATTAAAATTAAATAGAGGGAGTGTTTGTTTCGAATATCAAATCCCACCTCAGAGTTAAGATTTTAATGCTGGTAACAATTCAAAAAAGTTTTCGTTAGTACAAAAGAAAAATTCTTTTGTGCAATGGAATCTATACTAATATTCCCGATCAATAAAAATTAACATTAGAGGTTTTTTATTAATTATAATATTATAATATCATATAATATCTTGTTATATAATATATTCATTATACTGAAAACAGTAAAGATCAAGTTTATATAAAATTTTCAAAATATGCATATCATACACAAGCATCATGCTTATTAACTCACAACGAAGTGCCAATGATGACTCTCTGTAGGCTTGTACTGATTGTGAAAATGATCACAACTCACAACAAAGAGAAAATGATCAATAATTAACTAGCGGTAATTAACGATTCTCTAGATTTTTAAGAAGCTTGTTTTTTTTTTTTTTACTAACCTCCTACTAATTACCAATTACTTTAATTTTAATTAATCCAAAATCGAGTCACATTGAATCAAAAATTTCAGTTTGAGATTTTCCTTAAAAAGAAACAAACTCTTACCACGTTTACCAACAGGGGTAAGTAGCTTGTTTAAATGCACAATAGTTAACTAATTAATCGTGAACCAAAGAGCCAGAACCCTGTTAATTTATCTGAGGTCCACTTCCATGGCTTGTTCCTGGCCTCCGAGGCCCCGCAAAAGTAACTACTTCCGGTGGATCATCTCTCTGCATATACCGTCCATCGCAAAACATCAATTATCTACCATAAAACATCTTAAAAATCTTGTACTCATATGTATCCACACATGCTTGGAATATTATAAGAAGAAGAGAGAGTTTAATTAATTACGTACTGTGGTGGAAGAGGAAGGATGATCATCATCAACTTGAGCTTGAGGGTCTGTTGTTGTTCTGCTTGGTGGATCTGGGTCTGAAGTTGGAGGAGGATCTACAGCTTCTTTAGTGCTGGATGAAGAAGATTCTTGCCAACTAGCTGTTGCTTCATTGACTTGGCCATTGACTTGGCCATCTGTGGAACGGTTTTGTTTGATTTTGGTTTCAATGCCCAGGCACTGGAGAATGGCTTTAATAGCCTCCGGAAGAAATGAAGGGTTACTGACTACAGCAGCTGGTGCTCCTGGCCTTGTCATCTCTTTCCTTGACGATATTTCCTCCATTGCCTATACTTCCAACCCTGATTAGTAATCTCTCCTGGCTAAATGCTTTGTGGGTTTCGTTGTCTCTGTCTTCCTTTCTTTCTACGAATAGTTTCTTTTCCAGAGATGACAAAAGCACTAAACTAATCACCAATTTTATTTTCTTGGTCAACTTCATCATTATTTTGCTATCTCCTTTTTTTTTTCTTTTTTTTTTTCGTTACAATGGAGAGTGTGATTTTTCCAGTGTTTTTGGGCCCAGTTCGGTGGCTGATCCAGTTTGGCCACGGGCCCGATTAAACCAATTAAATCGATTCACCTAATCAGGCCAATCGATCAACTAAAAAACGTTTTTTTTTACATATTTATTAGATTTTATCATTGTATATTACTTTCATGTATTCTTAACTAATAGTTATCATAAGATTAATTTGAAAATCATCATTTGGGTTATTTAAAATAATAAATATAATTAAATACATATAATTTTTATTATCTAAACTAACAAATATTTAAATACATAATATAAGATAAGTTTTTCAAGTATGATAACAAAAAACAATTCAATCTTAAACTAAATTTGCTATAAAATAAATCTTAAATATAGAAGAAAGTGTTAAATCAAATTCACTACAAAATAAGTCTTGAATATAAAAAAGAAAAAATCTTGAAAATGACATTTTTCTATAATTTACGCAAATATATCACCTGTTAAGAAAAACTCCATGAATCTAAGAATGATAAATAAAAATTTGTTTGAATTAAATATTAAAATTTAAAATCAATACATTACAGATTACAAACAAATAAAAACAAGCATCATAGCAATCACATATATTGATTTGAACATCATTGCTTTGAACATCATTGCGTCAATGCATTACATATATATATTTTTTCCAAATCTTATATATATATATATATATGTTGATTAATAAAAAATTAATTCCTATAAACAATTAACAATCATATAAATTCTTACCCATTGAGAAAGAAATGCTGCTCTATTCTGTTGCGAAGAAAAGGATCTATTCTGCTGTTGCTGCTCGATTCAGTGCATGAAGGAAAGGAAGGTGCTACTGCTCTATTCGATGGTTGAAGGAGAGGCTATTTCTGCCCATTGGGAAGGAGAGGAAGGTCGATGATGCTGCTTTGTTCGATGTTGCTGCTCTGTTTGGTACTTTAGTGCTACTGCTTTGTTCGGTGAAAGAAAAGCTACTGATTGCCGATGGTGGTGGTTTAGAAAAGATGCAGATCTGTTCTGTCGATGGTGCTCTATTCCTGCTGCTACTATTCGATGGAGGAAAGCAAGGAGGATAAGCCACGAAAGGGATGGAAAGGGCTACCGACGGTGGTGGTTGAGAGTAGATGCAGATTTGCTCTATCGCTACTACTTTGTTCCTGCTACTACTCCATTCGGTGAACCAGTGCTACTGCTGTTCGGTGGAGAAAGCTAAGGAAGATGAGCCACGAAGGTTGTCCAAAGAGCTACCGACAATGGTGGTTGAAAGCAGGGAGGACGGTGGAGGAAGGAGGCGAGGATCTGTTGTGCTCTTGAGCTTTCTTCTTCTTTCTATTTTCTATAGTGTTTGTTGAGTTTTTTTTTTTTTTTTTTTTCAGTTTTGGCCTTCTATTAAGGTTTTTTTAATCTCATATTAATTGAAATTTAAGGGGCTTTTATGTAATAATATTAAAAAAATGAGATAAAATAGATATATTACCTTGAAAATGAAAAAAAATGGGTTAATTGAAGAAATAAGGTGCAGCTTGACAAGTTGAATGAGTGAAATGGGCCAAACAGGTGCAACGGGCTTGACGAGTTGGAGCAGGTCAATGGCTAAAACGGGTTGCAGGTTGTATTCGATCCATTTTCAAATTTGGGTCTGGTTGAACCGATTCAACTGATCGGGCCAAATCAAACTTTAAAACAGTGGATTTTTCCCTTTTCAAACTCCCCTCCACTAAATTTCATATTTAACTTTGAAATTCCTAATGTGAGCATTCAAGTTCCTTACTATGGGTACATTTTTAAGGTGCTTTTTACCCATCTTCTCTAGAATAATTTCGCTGTTATTACAAAAATTGAAGTTAAGCAGCCTAATACGGTTCTTTAAGAGTTCTTGATCTAGTCCGGTTCTAATGCTACCGAAAAGTTCCATATAAGTAAAGAATGATACCGTAGAAGGAAGGGCAGCAAGGGAAAATGGGTGGAGGAGGTATTCTTCCAATTAATGGTAGTATTAAATAGTGATGGCAGGTTCTCCTACGAACTTCGATGGGAGGTGAGTCAGGTGACAGACAGGTATTAATTCATGGCCTTCTTCCCCTTGACACTTTTGGCCCGTCAATTTGTATCAAATTGACACTTTAGTCTTCATACTTCTTTTTTTTTTAGTTGTCCTTCAACTTTTCTTCTTGCAATTTTCTCTCCCAATTTTCAAAAAAATTTTAATTCAATCTCTAGATTTCTGATTTTTTTATTATTTTCTTTTCTACAAATACAATGAAAGTCATGTAAAACCAAAACAAATCACATGGCATCATCTAATGCATGAAAATTTGGCCTATCAAACTTGATGAGAACTTATTAAATTTTTAATGATGTGACAATTTCAACTAAAATCAATTTTCAATTTGGACAAGTGGGACTCATTAATTAAAATTAATTAGGTTATCTTAGAAATTAAAAGTTAATAAACTTATATGATGATGAATTGCTAAGTTTTGAAAAAGAACTCAATCACAAAAAAAAAAAAAAAAAAA